TACGGACGCGGAAACACTGAATATGTAAATGAGATACGTACAGAATAAATGCGGTAGGAAAATTGTGAAGTCAGAGGGAGGAGAAATAGTCTTTAACTGCAGTGCAGAATGAGGTCCGAAATCACAATGCCAATGAACGATAGTGAAGGAGTTCAAAGGTGTGTGACCCTGGGATTCAAATAATTCATGAATGCGAAGAGGGGATGGCAGAGTGATATGTTAGAGTGATATCAGCTGTAAATAAGAATAATACCTAATATCAAACCTGGAGAGGAAAATGAAACCAAAGCAAAAAATAAAAATTTACAAGCAAAAATAATTGAATTGTGGCTACGTTTTTAATCCAGAGGTTAGTAAACCGTACTGTCTTGGGGTGGGACATGTGGCCCCGTCCTTGGACCAAAAAATATTTCAATATTCATATCTTTCATTTTTATTGCACTGTGCACATGATAGTTCTACATAATTTGTATTATCCAATGAGAAAATAATTTATTAAATTATGTCTTCGAATTATATATATACAATGTAAGATATAATTTACAATAATCCCGCATTAAGCTTCTCCATTCAAAAATCATGGTATTTTACTTTATTGTTATTTAACTTGTGTTGTGGAACAGTTCTTGCCAAATGTTGACTCTTCCTGAGACCTGACAGTGATAGATGATTATGAATGAATGATCACGTGAAACGAACGTTCAAACGATCTGGAAGCTATTTTTCGCATGAAGCTGTCTGGGAGCACACGCGTCAAAGCAGAGAGTGGATGTAGATCACTGCGCTAATACCCTTTCATTGCATCAAATTCCCAAGATGTAAAAATGCCTCACAGGGTAAGTTAACGAGTCTACACAATAGATATCTAGAAGGTAGTAGTCATAACTAGAAACTAGAATTAGTTGAATTGTCATCCCGGTAATCTATAAGCAATCTTGCAGTGCTACAAGTACGCAAATGAAAGATCAAAGCTTCAAAGGTCCTGAGTCACAATTTCATAGAAGAGGGGGGAAGGGAGAGAGAAACAACGGGATGAAAGGAGAGTGGTAAGAGAGAGAGAGAGAGAGTTCGAGGGGGAAGAGGGAGGGAGAAAGTGGAAAGAAAGATGAGGAGAGTGAAAAACATAGGGGAGGAAGAGGGAGTGAGATGGATGGTGAGAGAAGAGAAGGGGAGAGAGCGGAGAGGGATAGGGGCGAGAGAGGGAGGAAGATTGAAGAGAGTGAGAGAGAAGAGAGATAGGGAGAGGAGAGTGGGAAGATAGAAGAGCGTGAAAACGAAGAGAGAGGGAGAGAGAAGAGGAAAAGGGCGAAGAAAGGAGGTAGATGATATTGAAACGGAGAGGGAGGGGCGGAGAGAGATAGAAGAGAGGGAGCGAGAGAAGCTCCACCTCCCCCGTGCGCTGCGCCAGCGAACGCGTCGAGCAGAGCGAGGCCACCGAAGCGCGGGCGGGAGCGGGAGGGGGAGAGGGAGAGGGAGCGGGAGAGGGAGCGGGAGAGGGAGCGGGCGCGAGGCAGCGTCGCGTGAGGCCATTCCGCGCTGCAGGCCTCGTCGCCACGGCCCCGCGTGCGTGGGGGCGGACAATGGGACGACGCTGCTGCTGCAATGTGGCACGGACTCTCTCGTAGGAAGTAGTATCGAAAATTGCCCTAATTTTATGAAAACGGATATTAAATCTACGATGACTATCTATCCCAAATCTCTCTTTCACAGTTAAATTACCTGAAATTCAGTTCGAAGTGCTCAATTTCGAACAAATTTTGAAGGTCGTATCATGAGAAATATTGAAATATTTCGAGGAAATAATGTCAATAATTCATTGTAAGCACTTCTTGAGTAAGCAGTTCCCTACGAGTAGTATTTATAAAGTAGAGCAGCTTTGGCATCACATTTTGCAACAGTGTTGTAACTCAATATTAGCCAGCATTTACATACATTATTATACAACCTCGTACAAATATGAGTCACTTACAGCAAAATTGGTTGCCAGACTAATAACATCTAGAGGCATGTGGGAAGTTCAGAGCACAATTCATTCTGATATTTTATTTTATATTATACTCATACAATTTTAACAGAACAACAAATTCTCAACAAAATTGTAAATGTATGTATTTAAAATAGAATTCAGTAAATATAATAATTTAAGTTTGTGGATTGTCTCGAATTGTAGATGTTTGAATGTTTATTGGCGAACGTGTTCGAGTTTACTTAATTCTGTCGTAAATATTGTAAAAGAATATATAACTGCAAACTATTGTGTAAAATCAGACTACTTCTTCCCTTACCGTTCTGTAACAATGTTCTCTAACTTTATTGGGAATCGAACAAGGACTAATTCTTAAAGATAAGAAAAAGATAAATTTATTTAAACTGCAAATGGATATAATCCGGGGCAGCTATTACATAAGCAAGATAATATAGCTATCATGCAAATTATATAATAATCATTATTATGATAATGATATTTTAATAGGTGGCTGAGTCATAAAAGATTAAACTACCTTAAGAAAAAGAAAGTTCTATAATTTAACTCCGCATTGAATGTTTGATCGATTAAGACCACACTGCACCAGCACTGCACTGCGCTTCACTACACTTCACATCACTTCACTTCACTATGAACTTTAATCTCCTCCTTCATTAAAGGGTCACAGTGAAGTGAAGTGAAGTGAAGTGTGGTTCCTCTTTAGTGTAGTCAGAAGTCTCATGACGCAATTCTTCTTGATCATTTTCATCGTTTTTTCCTCATTTTTGACTTTAAACACTATCGTTCAGGGTCTCGGTGCCAGTACAACCCGAGGTTCCCAGGCTGTCATCCAGCACGGGAGCCTCGGGGCCTCGAACTGCTTAACCTCCGTGACTTCACGGAGCATAGTTCACCCTTACACCCTGTTTGAAGTCATTTTTTATCCCCGGCGAAAATTATGTTTTGCAACACTCAGAAAATTATTCACGTGAACTTCTCTTGGATATGCTACTTATGACCAGTTTTACACGTGATGTAATTTTTTAAGTTTTATATGTTTTCTTGGTTTGAAGTAATTTGGTATATATACTGGTGGAGTCAGAAATCTACGGATTCTACGTTTCCCGTCTAAAAATGGGCCTATTTCTATCCAATTATAAGAAATTACAAGAAAGATTCCAAAAACTGGTCAATTTACGTTTCATATTATTTTGCGGTTGCTGAATGATAATCTGGCGTATTTGCCTTTTGCGAGTTAGTAGCTTTGTTTTAAACATTCTCATGCTGGTATGATAGAAAGCTATGTATAGTTATGAAGATCTGCTAGAATGTTTTTTGTGGAAATAATATCATTCTTTTCTTTTAAGGACGATATGTTAAATCAATCAAATAAATAGCATTTTCTCAATTAATAATTCTGAATAACATTCCATGCATGAAATAATTGTTAACTATTGGATAAAATGCCTTGGGTCAAAAGCGACCCCAAACAGAATCCACGTAAGTAACGTTGAAACAGAGTCGAAGAATTAAGCAGTTCGACTACCGACGCCCTGTCGGGAAGTTTTAGGATTTTTATATTCCCACGGGTCGATAGTTGGTGGTTCCACGCTGCACAGCAGGTCTCGCAGGGAGTAGGTTGCGCTTTAAATCTATCGCTCGTTGCAAAATCTGCCAGAGGAAGGAAAAACGCAAGTTTGGTGTCCTTTTTAGTACGAAAAACTTGATTGCTTTCTCCTGAATACGCAGCTTCATATTGCAGTAAAAACAAAGTGTATATGCCAGATTTTTCCTATTTTCGTGAATTCAATTGCCGAAATATGAAAACAGAATATATCATAGAATATTTACATTCTGGAATATTCCTCATACGAGTACACTCAGTGAAAGATTGAGAGAACTGAACGCGTTATGGTGGTCAGTATAATATTTTCCCTTATTTCTGTTTTATTCAAACGTATAAAAAACTTGTTTTTAAATAATTCAATTGTACTGTTATTATGAGAAGTATGCAACCTTCAACGGTTCCAAAAAAGGGGCATATTGTTATAGCTCTTACTTTTGCTTATTGCTTCAATTGGCTTATACAAATCCATAGTAACTTTTACTGTGATTGACATAATACCTTAGTTAACATAATCATTTCTTATATCTGAAACTTTTTGCCTTATAAAACCATGACTTTCTGATATTTTACTTTTTGAAAATGCATGTATACAACACTACCTGTAAGTGATTTATTATTTAGTGATCATTTATACAACAAAAAAGATTGTTCGTAAATTAAATACAAAACCGTTCATGGTTAGCCAACCTTTTTTCAAAGAATACTAATTCTCATAGACAGTAAATTTAAAATTCAAAATAAAATTTCTCTAAACTTTTTCGTTATTACATGAGCAATCAGTTGCTTTACGAGAAATTTTAGAGTGCGATATTGAAAACAGAGTTTATTTAAATTATTCCACTTAATACATTTTTACTTGATTGTCATTCGGAATCACAAATGAGAATATTATTTCCATCTCTTCTTCTCATTCTATTTAACTTTCTAGAATAGGCTTACGCTGATTCTGACACCACTGTATCAAGTCATCCAATCTTTTCACTTCCAGGTGGTCTCTTTCCAATAATCTTGCAAGTGAACGCTGTTTGTAACAATCTAATATCTTCTGTTTTATACTTATTGCAATCAATGTTCAATGCAGTTATGTTGTAATATTAATATTACGTATATAAAATGTACATCTTTTTAATTCAAACTATTCTTTTACCGATACTCTTTATGGCATTCGTTTTGATTCATTTTATAGTGTAAATACTCGTATATATTTTTTTGCAAAATATATATTTATGAGGTGTCTTATTTAAGCTTATTTTATTTGAACGCCATCACTCACTGCTATAGAGGAGAGCCATTATTTTCTCAGGGGGGGTTAAGATTATTGGGGTCTCTAGAATACTTACGTATACTTAAGTATACGTTTCTTTATTGAACGTACTTGCGCACGTTCATTTATAAATATTTATTAAAATGCCAACACAACTTAATCCCTTGCGAAGTGAGCTGTTTCGTTTAAAATGTTTGAGGCAGCCTTCTGGAACGAGTAGAAAAATCAAACGACGCGTTCAGCAGAATCTGGAGGAAACGCGACGTAAACATTCCGTCCAGTTCTCGCTTCCGCCGGCGGTGGCTCTCGAGGCGGTTGCCCATCTAACGCTGGCAGCTGAGGTCTGGGGAACATATCACGTGACACTCGCGGACACGCTCCAAGCACACGAGCACTGGGAGCCAGCACCAGTTGGAAGCAAAGGAATCAAACCCACGGCCCGGCAAGTAAGAAAATATGCCTCTTTGTAAAGTGCGGGCAAATCGGACGGTGACGTTAACCCCCCCCCCACAACACACACACAAACACTAAGAAAAAAACACCGCTCGACCGCTGTCTCGCCTTTCCCCTCTCTCGCACAATTCGTCTTTCTGCCCCTAGTATTTCTCCGTAAGTTCTGCTGTCGCCCTCTCTCTCCCTCTCTCTCCCTCCCTCTCTCTCTCTCGCTCTCTCCCTCTCTCTCTCTCGCTCTCTCCCTCTCTCTCTCTCTCCTTCCTCGATAGCCACTTCATTTTTCTGTTCCCATCTCATTCTTTATCTCTCATTCATAGCCGCCTCCCCGCATATTAACCCATACGATAAAAAAAACTAAAATCTAACTCTTTCTTCCTCCTCCCTTTCTCTCGCCTTTTTTCTTGCGATTTCGATATACAGTCTGTGTACCTGTAAGAGTTTGAATGAGATGAAAATATTATCATCGATGATAATTGGCAGTTGCGCGCATTGGAACTAATTAATTGTCCAGTTTACGATTTCTGATGGGATCAAAACGTTAGTTGATTGCAAATTACAATCGAGTACCAGCATGACTTTACCCCTTGCTCATCACAGCACATTGCAAGATTTTTGGGAAATAAGCATCACTGCAATGCGTGGCAGAGAGCCTTGAGTACAATAAATTGTAAAATTATTAATCGAGCTTTTTATGTATAATTTAATGTAATAAATTATACACTATAATACATATTATGTAATAGTGTCCATTGAACTGTACAATTATTGTAGTCCATGAATGTTGTAAAGAATCTCGTGTACCTCGTTAAACGCTATCTAATACAGTTCGACTATAAATAAATAATAAATATGAAAGAAAATTGAAACAATGAACATTTCCACAAATAGGACACATGTGTAATATTGATGCAGAATTCATCTTTTTAATTTCCTTCACTTCAATACATCTTCTCTAGAAGATTGTTGATGATAACTCCATTACATTACAGTACAGTAATTACATTTAAACCATCCTATGTTTGTTTTTTTGAAATTTTATTGATAAATCAAGAACCATGGTGTATTATTTAAAGTGTAATAACCTGAAATGAAAGAAATATAACCTTTAAAAGAGACGTATTCTGCCGATCATATTTTACCCTGTTTCAATATGTGAAACGCGACGATAAATTGAATATATTGCAATGACAATAAATTTTAGAAATGATTCAATGGTTGAAAAGCTATCTTTTCTCGAAATGTTTTTAACTTCTACGTGTTCTTGGGATGGGGATAGGAATTGAAGAAATATCGTGTCCTAACATGTTTAATGAGAAAATCTTACTATTTACAAACTTTTGAAGAAAAATGTCTACAAAGTCAAAAGTATAGATAGAAAATATATAGAAGTATCTATTGCGTTTTGCTATAAAACGTGAAAGCAGGATGGTTGGTCGTCACTACAGCAAAATTGTGAATGTTTTGTTTCCCCATCCTATTATAATTACAATTTTAAACTAGGTGAACACATTTAAAAAAGAGATTTAATATATTGCGTTCTACAGGCAACAATAGGCTTCTAGAGTATTCTCGGAATTTTATTCTCTTATAGAAGCAAATAGGTAATCGTGCCTATGTGGACTAAACATGCTTACTTTTGATTATTTTAGAGAATTGTTTCATGAATAAATTATAATAGTTTAATAAAATTATTGAATGGTCTTTCTGACTTACGTCAATTATCAACATAGCACTGCAAATTTTGGCAGCACATTCTTACTAAAATTACTTTCGTAAAATTGTTTAAATTGAAAAAAGTACAATTGCAGTCTAAGGTTACTTCTTTTAGTATACACAGTTACCTAGACATATTTAATTGCAACCGAGAAAGATATAATCTACGTAGAATAAAAGTGTTCCACCATCCAGATAGAAAAAGAAGCAGTTTCCAGAGAGACACTCACCCACGGTGGAGAAGGAGTTCCGAGAGAGACAGATAATTGGTTCGCATTTGTCTTCGTGTTCGACTCAGAGACCTGCTTGATCAATTTCTCACGTTTTTAAAAGAAATTTTAATTAGTTTGGCTCCCATTCATCATTCAAATGGCAACGGAAATATTGCTATTCATTGGTTCCAGCAATTTTCGAAAGGTGTAAGTCATATCTCTTATATCACGAACACTTCGCGAGAGCTGGATTTGTCGACGAAAAATGAGGAATCCTATTTTAATAACTCCCGTAAAGAACTTCCACATTTCATGAGTTGTAACAGCACATGAAAATGAGAAACCTTGACATTGGCACGTTTCCAGATTCTAATTCCCAGAATTCGTGCCTAAACTAAATGCATTATCCTACATTACAGAATCGACATCGTGCAGACCGTTTGGAGAGTGCGTGATGCAGGGCTTGTGCGATGATAAACTGCTTTTACAGCTCCCCTTACTTTCCGGGTAGTTATAAAAACTGAGCACATATCGTTCTTTCAATTTTTCCCGTGTCAAAATATACAAAGATTTCCAGACTATAACACAGATTAGGGAGCGTTAAAAACAAAATGCTTTGCATGACACCCACAGTACGTTTGTAAGTTTAAAGAGCGCACCATTCGATACGTTTAGGAGCTTTTAGAACACACTAAACAATCGTGTATATCCTGTTTCTTAATTGGAGAAAGTATAAACAAATTACACCTTAAACATGCAAAGTAAGTGGAGAAAGGTGCAACATGAGGCGGCAAGGAAGCGGGAAAAGGCGCATTATGATAAATAGATTTCTCACATCAAAATTTCCAAAGTTTAATGTGTTTCGAAAAGGAGTTTCAACGGTTTTAATATTGACTAAAATATTCATTAAATATTTTCTGAATTTACAAAGTGAAATGTTCATCCAAGAATGAATTATAGTGGCCATTACTTGTAAACTACTGATTATGCACTCTTGCTTGTTGAAGTGGATATCAAATGGAGTTTTTTGGGTATGGGCACAGACATTTTTCTAAAAAGCATTCAGAAATATTTTATGTACGTAATTTTATGTGTATAAATTATACACGATGTAAATAAAAGTTTACTTTCTTCACAAAGTCTAATTGAAGCATAAAGTTACTTATGAAGTTCGCTTTGATCAACATAAGGAAACGCGGTCTGGCGAGGATTGTGAAGAATCATGCGCTGCACTCGTACACTCCCGAATTCACCGTTCCTTGACGCTTCGTATTTCGCCCTAACTGCTCTACGGCAGGGAGCAGTGGATTCAATTGTGATACTGGTACAATCGATCGTCACGTGTTATTTTCAAGGTCCGCTCACAATGAACCATGAACGTAAACGCAACACGAATACTGCAACTTGGTGTCACTTTATTCATTGAATCCATCCACAACAGTGAAGGTAGATGTGAACGTTAACATAAACATACGACATAAAGTTTACAACTTCCAGATTTCAAGTTTATGTTAACATGGTTTGAGAAAATAAGACTATGGGAACAACAACCAAAGAACTAACGTTTTTGATAGAAGTCAATTCGATATTTAATTAGGATAAAATCCAAAATGTTAATATGATGTATCAGTCAAACTCCTTGAAATGTGTGATATGCTGAGCATGAAATTTTTTTAAAGTGATATTTAAGTGCATTAATTTCCATGATTTCTCATGAAACATTCCATAGAACCACCTATCGCATCGCATTACTCAAAGATCGCCAACCTAACATTGCCACTTCAAGTTTATTTACTTTCGTGCGATTGTTTACAATATTTAAGTAAAGTTTTACCGAAATGTTATTAAATTGATGAAAGACTGGCTTCATGTTCACGCTCGTTCATTCTTTCCAACCCGTTTCTCCCTTTCGTTGGCTCCACAATCTCAGCCCGCCCAGATGATATTAGATTATTGCGGGTTTCATTAATAATAATAATAATAATAATAATAATAATAATAATAATAATAATACCGAGCAAAGGGGCTCAGTACGCAGCACATTGTATTTGCAAGCAGGAGGTCCGGGTTTGTTCCCAGGAACGGCCATCCTGACCGGGGGTTTTTGTGGTTTCAGTTCAACTCCCGACGGTGACAGAATTTTGGACACTTCGAGTTCAGTCGCTAGTCGAGTTTAGTACGAATTCAGTCGCTATCTGGAAGAAAATACTAGAAGCCGGCAGCTCTGATCGGTAGTTTTCCGTGGTTTCTCCGATCAGCATCAGGCGAAAGCGAGAGTAGAACCAAAACAAACGGACCACGGACCGACCGCGATCTTTCCTTCGTCTTTTTTGTTTTATCCTAACTTACACTCACATGCGCCATACTACTTGACATGCCAAGGAGGCCAGTCCCGACTGCGGCGGTGCCTCGCTGGGGAGACACCTGGTTGGGGAAACCCCATAAGCCGACGGGTAGGACGGCACCGGACCTCGGCATCCAGCGGGGGAAGACCACGGCCACCTTCCGTGCAGAGCACACTTACGGGAGATAGCGTTAATGAATCGATGCAACCCGTGTGCGCAGGTGGCGCAGCTGCTGGGCGCCCTGGGCGCGGGCATGGCGGCGGCGGAACAGCGCGGCCCGGGAGGCGGCGGAGGCGGCGGCGGCGGCGCGGGGGGCGGCAGCGGGGGC